ATGTCGGCTATCTCCCATGTGGTATAACACTGACTGTTCTCAATTAATGTTTCTATTTGATTGCCATCAACTTCAACTGACCATCTGCTTGACCCTGGAGCATCATCCAGCGAGAAAACTCTAGCATGAAACTTTGCAAACCACTTGACACACTGCACAAATCTTTTTTGACATTTCAATTGCATATTTAACTTTCTTGAAATAATAAAACATAATATGCCAAAAATGTTCCATGTTGTCTTTCTTCTTCAATACTGAAATGGCTAAACAAAAATTCACCAATTTGTTAAGTTTTTTAAATGCACACTGATAGGACAGTTGTCACAATACAATCTAACAAAATTGTTTCAAATGAATTTAAAGACAACTAAGCGACACTAGAGCCATCGTACGGAAGAAAACCAAACGAACTTTTTAGACAACCCAACATGTAAGAAAAGATTTCCTATCCTCTGCCTAGGCCCCCAGGTAAAAGCCTATTATCTGAGTAAGTCACTCCCCTCAGAGGCCTGAGTCAATATCCAAATCTTTAATTCTCATAAAAGAGAAAAGTACACAATCTAAAAATTCGTTTATATCAGTGGTAACTGAGAAGAGATTATTCTATTATCTGTTGATGATTTTCATTTCCTTAAAGAACAAAAATAAAGTTAAATGGAAACTATACAAGCTTCAAATTCTAGACTGGCTACCACCATTTACTATGTTCCACAGCAGGCAGGACAAAAGGGAAAAAAAGATACCAACCTTCATGAATCTTGCACTCTTAGGACAATGCCTGGCTAGAATAATCTAGACCAATATTTCATAAGCCCCAAGATTTGTATCAGCTGCTCAAGATATTTTTTCAACTGAATTAAGAAAGCATCTTATTTTTGAGGCAAGGAAACCATGTTAAAAGCAACAAAGGAATCACTTAACCAAGACAACTTCACTACAAATAGTGGTTGCAGCCAGTCTTCTCCAGAGCAATGATGGTGACCTCTGCATTCTGCAATCCTAACCTAAGAATTGTTTAAAAGGAAAAGAATGGATGGCTTTCTCAGAAGTGCTCTGCCACTAATAAGAGACTGAACACAATGTGCACCTATCCTACTACAGACAACTAATCTAGGTTCTGGAATCACTTCTCTGGCCTTTTTTTTTTTTTTTAATCGTCAACCAAGGACATTTCTTTCCTCAGTGCTAAAAGCAGGGAGAGAGTAAAGGAGAGAAACACTATTGCAAGAGAGAAGCATCCACTACTTGCTTCCCACATGCACCCAGACCAGGGATAGAACCCACAACCTAGGTATGGGCCCTGGTGGTGAATCAGATCTGCTATCTTTCAGTAACGGACGACGCCCCAACTGAGCCGCATGGGCCAGGGCCCTGGTCTTTAAAAAAAAAACAAAACACGGTAAAGCAGTGAGGTAGACAGGATCCTCCTCACCAGTGGTGCTCTGACCGAGGGCCAGGACGACCCGCACAAGTACGCTGGCTTCTCTACCACCACTAAATGCCTCATAACAAGACAGACTCCAACAAGAAACCATCAGGTCCAAAGCCCTTACTGAAGGACAAAGTGAGGCGAATAACCAACAGATACCTAAAAAAATGCTTTTTAACACACATGGAAGCAGAGCTCCAAAGGCTGTGTGATCCAGGTCCCAAGGGTGGGCAGGAGGAAAGGACTGGCTCTTTTTAAATATGACTAACCAGCTGCACCAGAAGGTAGGAGAAGGCATTAATCATTGCACATGCAGTGCTGTAATTAGCAGCTTTTAAAAAGTCAGGCTTTGTGTGTTCAAGATGCAGAAAAACTGACATTGGACTGTATACAAGACATGCATAAACTCAGGTACCCAACACAGTAGGTACTCCCCAGATGCTACTATGTATCTAGCATTGTAACATTATCTTTTAGTATATATACTTAACTCAGTTTTTAATTTAGTTCTGTCCATTTGACTAGAGCATCTAAACAGAAAAGATTATGTTAAAGAAAAAAATCAAAGACCCTACCTATTCAACAAGTTTAAACTTAAACAGCTTTCTTTCTGTGCCTGATACTTTATAACAGTCATGTAAATCATAATACTGTATTCAATTTCCAAATGTGCCACTTAAAAGCTGTGAGTCTGAAAAGTTACTTAACCTTTTTGTTCTTCACTCTCCTTATCTGTAAAATGGGGTAGTTATAACAGGACCTACTTTATCAAGTCATTGTGAGGATTAAACAAGATACATGTAAAGCAAGTAGAATTACAGTAGGCATAAAGGTTCAATAAATGTTAGATTTTTAAAAGCCAAGTTCTATAAACATGGGCTACATAGAAGACTGAATACAGTATTAGACAGAACAAGTCCAGCAGCTGGCATAACAACCAATTTTATAGTGCTTTATAATGTATGGAGCACATAATCTATCATTAATGACCTAGAGCACTGTGTCATGCTGCCTCTCCCCTTTCTCACCACGCCCCCCCACCGCAAAAAATGTTCCAAGAACATTCCCATTGCTCAAGTCCTATCTACCTCACAAACAAGAGGTAAGTAACCCTACCCAGAAAACTGTCCTGGTCTCTCTCTCTTCCAGTGGAAGCAGAAGGAACAAAGAGTTGCTTCCCTGCCACTTCAAGAAGCTCAGAGCATCCAGTATTATCACTCACAAACTACAATGGACCTCAGGAATGCTTCAGTCAGGTTTTCTCCGATGTGCCGTATGGCACAAGGAGATTCTGGGCACATGATACTGTCCCTGAGAATAAAAAGCCAGTATTCACCAAATTACCCCTTTTTGCTGCCAAAGAACAATGGGGCTTCAGTAATTCCCTCCTGTTGTAGCAGAAATAGACAGGGCACAACTTCAACAGCAGCAAAATGTCAAGACTGCTCCAACGCGCTACTTGTTCTCCATCAGCATGAGGGCTGGCAAGCACGACCCCTCTCTCTGGCCAGAGACTGCCTCTGACCCCATTCAGCTGTTTAGAGAAGAGACCATGTCCCTTTCAGCTTGGTGAGAGAAGCACCAAACGTCTGTGTCTTCATCATAATTCAAAAAAACTGCCACCTAATAAACATCTTGAGTTTACAAAGCTAGGGACATTGTCTTACTTACCAAATACTTATTAAAATATCCAATCTAGAATATTCTCAGGAAATATATTCAACAGTCTGGTCATGTATATGTTCAATACAAAAGTGTCTTAATTATTGTATTTCAATATACTCCCTCAGTCCTTATAAAAGATGAAAAACACATCACCAGTTTTTCCATTCCAAGCAATCTGTGGAAACCAACATTACTTGTAAACAGATTCCAAACCTATCAGGAGGTTACATTAAAAATATACTTGTGTGTGAGTTGGATACATTTTAAAAAACATTTGTCAGACTCTTGTTCTGGCAAGATTCCTGTAACTGGCCACATAACTTCTTGAGTTTAAAATGAATCTTTATTTTCTAGCTTCTTCCAATTAAATAATATATGCACATGGCTCTTTAGCATTAATTAGTTACATATATCGTTTAAAAAATTATAAAATGTTCTCACGTTCTATGTCTTTGGGCAAAAATTAACTTACTCTCCTAATTCCTGAAATACCGTTACTGGTAGGTAAAATGACTGCTTCAAACTACCTGGCCTATCTTTTTCAGTAAAAGGACCTAATTCATACAGACTATACTAACTGTAGCCAATCTAAACATAGCGTCCCCTAAAAGGCCTCAATAAAGCACTAATAATGGTGTTAACTATTATTATCGAGGGGGAATCAGGACATTTCTTAAAAGACCTGGAGAAAAAGGAATTACAGAATCTTTGTCATACGTTTCCTACCTTAGAAGATCTACCGCTGTCTATTTTGAAAAGAGAAGTATGCACGAAGGTCCCCGAAGGTGAGTTATGGGTGTGCAGGGATGTGTATGTGATGCACAAGGACCAAATCAGAGCTTTGGAACTCTCCAAACCCGTCCAATCCCAAAAGGGCAGGCTTAAATTCAATACTGACACTGGAGGGCTAAAGAGGAGGGACAATCATCGAAATAAATGGTTAATATATTTTATTTCTGTATATTAATGGCTTTTAAGAGAACCATGACTAACAGAAAGCTAAATATAAGAAATAAAGATTGTGAACAAGAGTTGAAGGAATTTCTTTAAGCTGAAGAGACAAAACCCCTCCATCTCCTCACACCCACCACTCTGGACACATGGTACTTACTCCCTGCTCACACCTGGGCTCACTTGTCTCCTGTACCTGAAACACACCCCATGGTGTCTCAAAGGCTGAGTAAACGCCAACTCCTTCCGGTGTTTTCCTGACCCTGAGGGTCAGTAACTACCTGTTTTTTAATTAAAACATTTTGTTACGCCTCCCAAATGGACCTATGAGAGGGTACACTGAGAAACAACTCAACTCTATTTATGCTTAAATGTTACCACTATCAGCCCATCATGTAAGGCCACCATCATTCCTCCACAACTGCCCAAACTACAAACCAAAGACCGAAGTTTTTCACTGTTGCATCCTACTACTGCACAGAGCAAATGCAAGTGAGTAATAAAGGATATAAAGTTTTCAGCCCAGAGGCCCTCAAAAGAAAAACAAAAGGCCATGTACTCTACAAGGTCAAGAGTCACCTACATGGGAACCAGATCTTGGGTCCTAGTTCTTGGATTCTAATGACTCTAATGTTGTAGGAATCTGAAGAAGACCAGCATTTCCCAAAATAATCTCTGCTGGACGCTAACAGATACCCAAATAAATTGGGAAAGTCTGGATTAAAATAAAGCTGAGTGGGTACTTTACTGAAGAACATTCTCGGGGCTTTGATATGCTAATACCATAAATTTCTAAGATAAGGTTCCATTATGAAGCATTTTAGTAAATTAATTTGAGCGAGATCACGAGCAGAATTTGGAAAATGCTTCCAGAAAGGTTGTTTCGGGGTTTGTTTGTTTTCAATCGTCACAATATTACTGAGTACTTCACCTCGACCTCTGCAGCAGTCCTTACCTGATGTGTGTTGCAGGCAGAGACTCATACTGGCGCGACAGAAAGAGTTCCCTGTGTTTCAACTGGTGTTTCTGCTTATCAGTCAAGTCGGCCTCAACTGTTGTCTCAGACTCTTCCTCAATTTCTTCTACACAAATAAAATTCAGAAATTCATTATTACAAAGCACATTATCTATCTGCATATTAAGACAGATAAAAATCAACCATTCCTTCACACTAATTAATGTTAAATTTACATATTTAGCTTTCATTTGAATTACAACCATAAAATTAAGTTAGATGAGCATCAAAGGAAGAATAACTACAATTTTAAAATGGCAGAAGGAACATATATACACATATATGTGTCTATATATATATATGTATATATATCTCCTCTTCTGCCAGAACACCACACAAAATTATAATTAAAATGTTAACATTTTAGTTTCAATGAAAAAATGAAGAAATGATAAAAGATTTTCAACCAAAATACAGTTTTAGACAATGGAAAGCAGATGTAAAAAAGTTCCCACTTAGCCTAGACAAGGAAGCGACAATCCATGAACCCGTGAGCACACAGAAGATGACATGCAGGAGAGAAGAACACAGAGCATGACTGACTTTGCCCTCAAAGATACCAAGTACTGGGAGAAAGGGGCAGGGTGGGGCCAAAGCCGTAACACAAAGGGAAAGGGTTAAAAGTCTTATGTGCATCACAGTGACAAGAATATGCTACTGAAAAAGAGAATTATCAGAAAAACAAAAAATAGGATAACGCATTTATTTGAAAAAACAAATAAAAAACTAATAAAAGGATTACAAGGTAACACTAAGAAAATCCCCCAGAAATTACAACACTAAGACAAAAAGATAAATAACTAAAAACGCCAAAAGATAAAAAAAAAAATTAAAGAACATTCATTAAGTCCAACATCCTAACAATAAAAGTCCAGGAAGAAACAACACAGAAAACAGATTCTTTACCTCTTAAAGAAATGATTCAAGAAAATTTCCCCTTACTGAGCCAGATGAAGGTCCAGACTGAATTCCCAGCACAATGAATTTTGTAAGTGCTAACCCAAGGTCACAGAGTCACAGAAGTTTACGGAAAGGAAACGCAGGTCCTGTGCAGAGAAAGCAGACTCGGGGAAGTGCACGGGAACAGCAATGCTGCGTGCCAGGACGGCAGAGCGATGTCACCTAGAGGAAGACTGGTGTTCGACCCAGAACTGTAGAGTGAACTATCGAGTCTGAAACAGTGAGGACAACCTTTCGTTCACTCAACCAAGATTCACTGGTGTATGTATAAGGTATCCGTCCAAACAGGCAGACAAGGTGTTAGAGATAAGCAGTGAGCAAAACGTTTCCAAGAAGAAACAACTCCGAGTTTTGCCTTTGGGAAGCAGAGTTGGGCAGAAGGGATGGAAGAGACAGAAAACCAAGTTTTACATCAGGCTTTTTTTTTTTCCCTTTAAAAAAAGCACTGTATTTAACACTCTAAAAAGAAAAAAGAATGATCAAATGTCCTTTATAGATACAATCACAAGTAATTTTAGATACAAATTTTTTTAAATATAATACCTCTGGAGGGCTCATAGATCCTCTGTAACTCTGCCTAGATCAGATGTGTGTGACTGTGAGGACAGTGGGAGCACGGAGCGTGTGAGACAGAGGCGGGGAGGCTCTTCATGCAGGAAGTAGAGCCCAAGTTCAGGCTTCTAAGGTCTTAATCTTGGGACACTGATTGGCAACACACACACAAAGACGACACATTTCTGTTCTTCGCCATTCTTAAAAGTTCTTATCTATGAACCCGGGACCACAAAAAGGTCTTCCTCACACACAGTCCCCCGGTTGTGGCGGTTCTCTTGAACTGTGCGAAGGTAATGAATGAGCTAAGTGTCAGATCGTTTCTACTTTCAGATTCTGAAAGCTCTACATGGAAAATGAACCTGAAAAACTGACTTCACCTAGCTCAACAAAAAGAATGAAGTGATTTAAAATTCTTAGACTACTCTTTTTAATGAACTACTCAAAGAGAAACAGAGCATTAAAAGAGCCACTTACTTGCAAGGCTAATAACATCTCACCAAGTAGAGAATAATGAAGTTATTGCTGCATTGGCACTATTAGCACCAGCAAAGATCACACACAAAATGACATTGTTTACCTAATTAGGATTTGATAAATTGTTCTGTAAAACACAGCTAACTAAATTCTAATCTGTACCCTATAGAGCTGAACAGCAACAAGCTCTACAGATAAGAACAGCAACTTTTCTTTTCTTACACATCCTCTTGGCACAGCATGGAAAGGACTCAAATGTCTGACATCCAATTGAACCAAAGATGGAAACCACCACACGAGCATCTGAAACCCATTTTTGAAAATTTACTAGTTAAATTTCATTTACATATTTCTATAAATTAGCATTGACTTCTGAAAAGGAATGACTCCCATGTCATTTACATCCTAAAAAACTTTAAAAAGGCATAATGGTAGAAACTAGCATGTAGACAATGAAAAATTTAAAAGACCAAATATGACTATCATCATCATCAAAAGCACATACATAGTAAAATATTTAATCATAACTTTCTAAAATCATTCTACCTTGATCGAAAGCTTGATGGAACATCAAATGCCTTCCAAAAGTTATTAAACTAGAAGTCCCACAGTATACATAGTAACAGAAGAGACTGATAGCAAATTACTTACTGTACTTTCCTGACAGTTAGAAAAGTTTCATACACATAGTTTACCAGGAAGAAGGCACTGGGGCAAGGAAGGAAAACAGCACAGAAGAAAACTGTACCAAGGGATTGTATGAAGTTTTAAGGGGCAACATATCACTGTACCTATTACTGTATGTGCAATATAGTGCATGACGTGAGGCTCCACAAATTTAAAAGTTTTAGACTACAAGATGAGGGAGAAAGCATGGCCAAAAAGCTCACTAAGGCTAATTTAATTACACATGCAGACTGAAAGGGGATAGGATAAGGCTGCCACAAATAACATCCAAGAAGCAGAGGTCAGAGAAGAAATCAAAGTAGCTGAGTAGTCCAGAGCACCAAAGGATCCACCTAGAAGAGCAGTCTCAACAACAGGTTTCAACCAGGGACTCAGGCAGAGCTTTAGAGATTGGGCACATGACATGTATAAATCCAGAGGAGGCAACCAATCAATGTAGGAAACTGAACAAGGGACAGAACACAGGGAAGGAGGAGCTGTTACTGACTTGAAACTGGGTGTTCTTCAGAAGAGATCAGAATCATATGTATTAGTTGGGAGGGGTGGAGAGGGAGCGGGCAGGACAGTTCTCCACAGGTTATATTCTCAAGCTTCCTAGGTCTCTATCTGAATGAAATTATCAGCCCACAACGACATTAGCTGGTACAGACCATAGAAAAAAGCAAGTAGTTAACAATGTTCCCTGATACATTTAATAACAAGTACCCAAATGTTTGAAGGCACATTATTGGACCGGGAATAGCTTAGTATTATGCAACTCAAGCCTGCCTGTTAAGGGGAGGGGGGGACCCTCAAAAAAAAGAATAAGCAGGTTGAACAAAACTAGAACGATTTTTATGATAATTTAGAGTTCACAGAACTATCAGAATGAAGAGAAAAAAAACGTTTGGCAGTCTAGGGGCAAATGATCAATAAACAAAAAAAAAACACCAAAAATCAATTATATTTCTACATAATTGATGAACAAGCAATGAACAATCCAAAACAAATTAAGAAAGCAATTTCACTTACAAAAGCACCAAAAGGAAAAAATTACTTAGGATTATCTTTAACAAAAGACAAACTTTGTATCCTAAAAACTATAAAACATTATTAAAAGAAATTAAAGAAGGCCCAAAGAAATGAAAAGATAATGTTCACAGATTGGAAGACTTAATACTGTTAAGGTGGCAATACTTCCTAAATCTACAGATCCAATGTGATCCCTACCGAAATTCTACTGCCTTTTTTGTACACACTGAAGAAGTAATCCTGAAGTTCCTGAGTAGTCCAGAGCACCAAAGGATCCACCTAGAAGAGCAGTCTCAACAACAGGTTTCAATCAGGGACTCAGGCAAAGCTTTAGAGATTGGGCACATGACATGTATAAATCCAGAGGAAAGAACCGATCAATGTAGGAAACTGAACAAGGGACAGAACACAGGGAAGAAGGGGCATGTAAGCAACCAAGAATAGCCAAAGAACTTTGAAAAACAAAAACAAAAAACAAATTTAAGAGGATTCCACTTCTAGATTGTAAAGCTTACTTACTCCAAGCGACAACAGCCAAGACTATGTGGACTGATGTAAGACTAGACACATACATCAATGGAACAGCACTGAGTCCAGAAACAAGCCCACACATTTACAGTTAATTGATTCTAGACAACGGCGCCGAGGCAATCTCCCGGGGGGAGATTTCTATAAAAATGGTGCTGAAAACAACTGGGTACTCACGTCAAAGAAAGACGTTCTTTTGACCCTCACACCATATACAAAAAGTAGTTCAAACTGAATCAAAGACCTAAATGTAAGAGCTAAACCATAAAACTGTTGAAAGGAGGCACAGGTAAAAATCTTCATACCTTAAATTAGGCAATTGGTGTCTTCACTGTGGCACCCTAAAGCATAAGCAATCAAAGAAAATAGATCAATTGGAATTAATATTAACATTTCTGTGTTTAAAAAGGACACTATCAAGAAAGGAAAGAAACACGGAATGGGAGGAAATACTTACAAATTATGTATCTGATAAGAATCTAGTATCCAGAATATATAGAGAAATCATAACTCAAGAACAGAAGGACAACATAATGAAATAATGGGCAAAGGATAAGAACAGACATTTCTCCAAGATAAGAAAATGACCAGTAATTACATGAAAGAATGTTTAACATCATCCGTTATTAGGGAAATTCCAGTCAACACTACAAGATACTTCACACCAACCAGAATGACTATAATAAAAAAGATAATAACAAGCATTTGCAAAATGGAAAAACTGAAATCTTTGTATAAGATTTGTGGGAATGTAAAATAATACAAATGCATTGTAAAACAGTTCAGCAGCTCGTTACTATATGACAGACAAAATTCTCCTGCTAGGTAAATATCCAAAGGAAGTGAGAACAC